ACATATAACAGGAAGCAAAATCTTAACAGATTGAGAAAATGCTCCAAAGAATGGCAGTTTTGCAGCTTATTTTATACACTAGAATCAAAGGAGGAGTCATAAGAGGGTTACATGAAATCCACTGGTGGTAGATTTAAGGAGGTGGGAGAAAGCATGGGCTAGGCTAGGGGGAGGGGAGAGAAACATAGGATTGAATAAAAGGCAAAATGGAGAAACACTTTTACATTGGTGGGTAGGGAATAGTTAGTAAACATTCACAGCACATAGAAATGGTATACGGGGAACAAGATAACAAGAGGGAGTCTGTGGTCTGTGCTCTGGTGCTGGTAGTTGTGCCTAAGAGAGGTCCAGAAAATAAAATTACTCTGACATTTCAAAGACATATTATCCTAGACGCATAAGAGCAATGGACAGAGCTCGCTTAAGGTAAAGATTGAGCTTTGCTAGCCTGGCTGGTGTTGCTCAGTTGGTACAATACACCAAAGGTCGCAGGTTTGATTCCGGTCAGGGCACATGCCCAGGTTGCAGGTTTGGTTCCTGGTTGGAGAGCATACAAGAGGCAACCGATCCGATCGATGTTTCTCTCTCACATCAATGCCTCTCTCTCTCTCTAAAATCAATAAACATATCCTTAGGTGAGGATTAAAAAAAAAATGACCTTTGCTAAGGAAGCTATAGACCTGCGATGTGAGTGCCTGCTATAACCCGTTCAGTTAGGACTTTGAGATCAGAACACCCTGTGCTTGTCAGGGCTATTGCATAGCCCCTTTTTCATTCACATAGAGCATTGTGATTTAGTAACAAACAAATGAACAAACAAACAAATGTCCTTATTTAGATACACACATTAAAGTATTTATGAATGAATGTGTGATGTCTAGAATGTGCTTTCAAATATCCCACCCCACCCCCAAAAAATGTCCTGGAGGAAATATAGATGAAACAAGACTGACAGAACATTAATGTTGAAGCTGGATGACAGGCAGGTACATGGGGATTCATAATACCATTTGCTCTACTTTTTTCTGTTTAAAAATCTCCTTAATAAAAAGGTTTTTTAAAAAAAAAAAAAAAGTCTACTAGCTATGGATGAAAAGGGCATTGTTGTCACCAGATGCCCTGTGGATGCTTTAGAACAGAAACCAATAACCTGACTTCGTGGGTCAATTGGCTCACAGATTAGGTCATCTCTCTACCTCTTCTTGGTGACTTCAGCACTTGAGGCAAGCAGCAGGTCACCCAGGGCTGCAGCACAGGAGAGCAGGGAGGCCAGAGAGAGACCTATAATTTCAGGTAGAGGGTTTATCAGAGCGTGGTTTTTCTGCATCTATGTATCAAATTCAATCAAGTCCCACATTCCCTTGCGCCTTAATCTATAGTGAAACATAGCATATGTGTAATTGAAGTCACTTCCATTACTTCTTAGATAATAAAATGGGAGAGCTGGAAGAAACTTGAGGAAATATCCAATCGAAACATCTTATTTTACACCATCCTAAGAATGCATTAAAAGATGTGACATTATAACAAGGTTATGGGTTGTGAGTAGGGTGAGATACTACTCACTAAAATAGAAGGCTGGCTTCCCATTTTGTTCCATTTCTCTCTTGCTACCCTGAGAAAATAAGTAAGGCAATGGGATGTGTAGTCTATTTCCTCTAAAAATTGAGGTAAAGCCCTGGCTAGTGTGGCTCAGTTGGTTGGGTATTGTCGGGTGCACCAGGAGGTAGCCGGTTCAATTCCCCGGGCAAAGACACATGCCTGGGTTGTGGGCCTGATCCCCAGTACGGGGTGTACAGGAGGCAGCCGATCAATGATTCTCTCTCACCATTGATGTTTATATCTCTCTCTCCCTCTTCCTTCCTGTCTTTTTTTTTTTAAATCAACAAACTATTAAAAATATGAGGTGAAGGGAATGCTTTGGAAAATGAAACCATCTACATGATTAAAAAATTATATCTCAATAAAGCTAGAAATTTTTTTTCAATTTTTAAAAAAGTGGAAAAAGAAAATGGGAAGGCCCAGCTTCATGCAGGGACTCCAGGGTGCTCAGAGGAAGGAACCAAAGCTGGCCAAGGTTAAGCCAAGATTTTCCTGAGTTGGTCCAGACTCCAGAGTTGTGACCAGAATTTAAAGAGGAGAGATTAGTCAAAAGTTTGAGTCTATAGTCCCTGGAAATACGTAACGCTGGTGCTCCTGCCACCTCCGCTGAGCCTGCTGGCTGGCGTTTCTGGTACCGGTGAGGAAACTGACCCAGTTTCCCAGGCTCTTTTGCCATCCCTGTGCTCAGCCTGGCATCTGCCTCCTCCTCCTGCCCCAAGAGGGAGGCCGACTGCAAGTCTTGGAGAAGCATGCTCTGTAGATGTGAACATCTGAGGCCATGAGCCAGCCTTACAGGAGGGTTGGGTATACAGAGGTTTCCAGAAGGGTGAGGAGAATCAGAGGAGGACAGGATTCACAGCAGCAGCCAGCCGGGAGGACCATCCTCAGGGTTGGCCTTCTTGGTCCCCCTTCATGATGGCACGGGCCAGACCTGATAAAGCCGTGGCTCTTCTACCAGCTCTACTTCCATTGGATTCCTAGAAGCTCACAGCTGACGGCCCACAGCCGCTCAGCAGTTTGGTTATTTCGGGCCCTTGGAGACACCCAGGCCCTCTTGCAGTCACTGGAGGGCAAAGGAAGAATGTAAACATCCAGGAGTGGAAATTGACAGTCCGGAAAAGTTTATGCCCTCTTTCTCAGAATACATTTCTAAATGTATAAAATAGGTTGCAGGAAAAGAAACCAACTGTATTGGAATGCACTCTTTAAATATTGTAAAAAATCCATGGCATAGTAACACATAAGCTTCTTTACTAATATAATCCATAACAAGAGCTAGCACTGGGTCTAATAACCAAGTAGTGGCGAGCAGAAGTGACATTTTGAGAAATCTGCAACTGCAACGGGGCATGAAAATACTACAGTTTCATGGGTGACGGAGTCATAGGCATTACCACCAATCCTGCAGTTCATTGCCTGCATTCATGGAAAATGCGGTTCTGATAAAGAAGACATGCCTATGCGTTAATTACTTTTCTTTACACTCTTCTCTGCCCTGTTTGTATAGAAGCAGATATATAGTGTTTCCCTCTTTTAATCCCAGGCTCCCCTTTATTCCCAAACTGAATTTGTGATAAGACTCAACACTGAAATGTCTATTTCTATATTGCAACAGATAGCGCCGATCTTGGCAGCCTGGGGAGACAGAGTTCACCCTGGGGAGCGTGGCCTTGCCCTGGAGCATTGTGCTAAGTGGTATTAAGGAATGCATAGAAAAGTCAGCCCAAGGTTCCTCGAGGGAGCCTGCTAATATCCTCCCCAAGGCACAGTCAATGGGGACAGCCTTCTCTTACAGCTCTCAGAAAGCTACAAAGCTTTCTTTCCTGGAAACATGGCACACAGATATAAAATAGAGCCAGGAAAGCAACTCTTGCCAAGTTTCTAATGTAAGTTCCCTTGGAAAAGTCACAGCATTTGGTTTGCAGGCCCAAACCAAGCCTGGATTCTGCTATGAGGTGCAAACTCAGCCACCTGGGGTGCAAAGCCCAGGGAACGGTGAATGTCACCGTACACAGGTGGGGAGAGAACCTGCACTGCCTCCACGCACCTGAAGTACTTGCCGCTCAGGGGCTCCAGGCCCTCAGCCAGGGCGCAGTGCAGGCTGGTCTGCGCCCCCTCCCGTGCTGACTTGAGGAAGGGGGAGAAGAGCCGCCAGAGCAGGCACATCAGGAAGGAATGGCGGACCAGCTCGGAGCGGACAATGCCCGGGTGCACCGAGTAGGTGGTGACCCCTGTGCCTAGGGCAAAGAGAGCACAGTTAGAGCAGGGACATACTCTGAGCCCCCGAAACAGCTCACCTCCTGCTGCAAAATGCATAAGTGAGAAAAAGGGACTCAAAAAACAGAACCCCGTGATTTAGAAGGTGCCACCCCTAGCCAGGTAAAATCTGGCTAGTAATTAATTGATCTCTTCCAGAAAGATCTATAGCCTTCTCAGCCTTCTGTGCTCCAAAATGAATGCTTGGTTGAAGGTCCTTCTATGTCGATGTCATCTTTCTCTGTGACTTAAGTATCTAGACTAATAAAAGGGTAATATGCTAATTAGACCAGGTCAACTGGACATCTTCCGGATGTCTGACTTCCTTTCGAACAAAGCCACAGTGGCAGGGGCCGAGGCAGAGGCAGTTAGGGGCGATCAGGCCAGCAGGGGAGCAAGCAGTTAGGGGCGATCAGTCCAGCAGGGGAGAGGAGATTTCATGCAACGGGCCTCTAGTTAATAATAGAAACAACAACATGTACTAGTTGCACTACTAATACTACTACTAGTAGCAGTAGTAGCAGTATCAATTACTGACAGTGGCATCTTTGGAATTTCTATAGGAAGGGCATGCAGAGGTAGGGAACATCTGACCTGTGGGCTGTATAAGGCCTGTGAAATCATTTGGTCTGGCCCTGCCAAGGCATTAGGGGTGAGTTAATTAAATATTTGATCAAATATAGCAGGCTAATTTTTAAACTGATATTTTTTGCATGGCCGACAAATGATGTTATAAATATCCAAATGGCCCTTGGCAGAAAAAAGGTTTCCCACTCCTGACTTAAGGGGAGCAATGTGGTTGAAAGAAAGGAAGTTAGTGGCTTGAACCACATTTGCCGGGCAAGCACATTTTATGAGGTATAGATTGAGGGGTGTTGATGAAGATTATGGGGGTTAACATGCCCCCCAGACACTCCTGGTGCCTCCACTATTTTTAGTACTTAGTATGTGCAAGAGACTACTACGTGCTTTACCTGCATTATCTCATTTGCTTCTCAAAGAGGCTTATGAGGTAAGTTATATTAAGATGCCCATTTACTGTGGAAAAAGCTGAAGTCTCATCACAGTGAGGTTAAGATTGCCCAAGGTCATACCTTAGCAGGTTGCAAGGTCAAGGTCTGAACCCTGATGTAAAGAGCATGGACTCCAGAGCTGGACTATCTGGATTTAAATCCTGGCTCAGCTAGGAAACTTGCTTGGTCAAGTTGCATATATATCTGTGCTGGTCTCTTCTGTTCGTTTGTTCAAGTTTCATATATATATCTGTGCCTCTCTTGTTTGTTTGCTTGTAGAGCAGGGAAAAACAGTAGCACCTACCTCATAGGAATGTTGTATTAAATGAGTTAAGACATGTATAGTCCATGGCACACACAAAACTCTCAATTATTATTGTCATTATTATTATTTCTTTTAATGGTTGCCCTATTCTTCTACCTTCTGTGTTCTGATATCAAATACCATTGTTCCCGAACTCTGGCTTATTCAGCGTAGCAAATAGTCCCCATGATTTCCAGATTCCAAAGCCAGCAACTCAAGTAAAATTCTAGGAAGGGAAAGGATCATAGGATTAAGAGAGGCCTCACCTCATTTTAAAGTTGAGGGGATGAAGTCAGGAGAAGATAAAGGGACATGTTCGTATACACACGTGGGTACCATGTGATAGAACAAGAACTCAGACCCAGGGGGTGACGTCTAGCCCTAGCTCCCTGACTCCGGGCAGGAGCACCTCTCTTGCTCAGCTAACCACGTGAATCTCAGCAAATAGCACTGAGCAGGAAGTACCCTGGATTGACAGCTGTATAAACCTGGACTGGCTGCTTCTTTGGACCTCGGTTTGGACCCATAGAATAATAATACCGGCTCTGCCTGTTGCAAGAGGTTGTTGTGAAAAATAATATCAGATAATAGATATAAGATTTGACATAAATGTAAGGTAACTTCCTAGGTTCCTAACTGTTACTCAATTTGAAGTTTCCCAAGGGCATCCTCCTCAGGGCATAGAGCTACCTACCACTGTAGTGTTCATGTTTGAGGTTTTCAGAAATTTCTGTGAACCTCTAATCTGGACTGAAAACCCTGCTTTCGCTACCTGAACCCTGGCCCTTTCTCCCGACTTACCTTGGAGCTTTTTGGCCAGCTCACGAGTAAAAAGCACATTGGCCAACTTGCTGTGACAATAAGCAAAACCGCGGCTGTAGCGCTTCTCACCCTGCAGGTCGTGGAAGCGAATCTTGCCAGCAATGTGGACCACAGATGACAGGTTCACCACCCGTGCAGGAGCAGACTCCTTCAGCCGCTCCAGGAGCAAGTGGGTGAGAAGGAAGTGGCCTGCAAGGAGAGCCAGGAGGGACGATTGAAGAGCGGAGTGGCTGCCCTGGCTGGTTTGGCTCAGTGGGTAGAGTGTCGGCCTGCGGACTGAGGGTTCCATTCGATTCCAGTCAAGGGCACATGCCCAGGTTGCAGGCTCAATCCTCAGTACGGGGCACACAGGAGGCAGCCAATCAATGACTTTCTCTCGTCATTGATGTTTCTAGCTTTCTCTCTGGAGTGGCTGCCCTGGCTGGTTTAGCTCAGTGGGTAGAGTGTCGGCCTGCGGACTGAAGGGCTCCATTTGATTCCGGTCAAGGGCACATGCCCAGGTTGCAGGCTCGATCCTCAGTAAGGGGCACACAGGAGGCAGCCAATCAATGATTTTCTCTCGTCATTGATGTTTCTAGCTTTCTCTCCCTCTCCCTTCCTCTCTGAAATCAATTAAATATATATATTAAGAGTGGAGTGGCTACCAAGGCTCAGGATGTGGGAGCTGAGGACAGGACTTCAGCATTAGCTCCCTATCTTCTGGGTGCGAACAAATTTTTATGTAACTCAGTGCTAATGGTCAGGCAGTCTGAGTTAGTGAATTCTTTAAGGCAAGGGCCAGAGCTAGACTATAGGTGAGGCAATATAGACTTTATCTGTACTTGTTTGAACCTCTGCCCTTGCCCCAGGTAGGAGAAAGGCTACCTGCTGGCTTCTGACCCCACTATGGCCATGATCACACAACTGTGGGTCCAGGTACACCCGTGTACAGAGGGAAGAGTGGAAGAGTTAGGGAAAATTACATTTGTCTAGGATCAGAGAACATATTCCATGATCTCCTCTCTAGAGCCATCACCTTGAACTCTGAACCCCAGCCTCTCTCACACCTTAAGTCTTCAGGGTTTGCCTCCTCCATCGACCAACCCTTGGCTTTCTGAGCCCTCAGTTATAGATGTGACTCCCTCCAGCCAAACATAGGCTCCTGCAGCTCCCATGCCTGGCTCTGCTTGGCAAGCCTCGTGCTACCACAGCCTCATCCAAGAATGGCATTTTTCTTCCTGGTATCTTCAAAGTTATGGGGTTTCCTTTTTTTTTTCTTTTTCTTTTTCTTTTTAATTTATTATTGAATTTACTAGAGGCCCGATGCACGATATTCATGCAAGGGCCTTGGCCCTGGAATGCCAGCCTGCCACCGCTGCAGCTGCAGGGCCTCTGTAGGCTTCAGGGTCTCTGCCGTGGGTTCCCACCCCCATCCCCCACCCCCTGCCCACTGCGGCTTTGTCTGGAAGGAAGGAAGGATGTCTGGTCTAATTAGCATATTATGCTTTTATTATTATAGATTGGGGTTACATTGGTTAATAAAATTATATAGGTTTCAGGTATACAATTCTATAATACATCATCTGTTATTGTATTGTGTGTTCAACACAACAAGTCAAGTTTCCTTCCATCATCATTTATCCCCTCATACCCTTTCCTACCTCCCTCCACCCTCCTTTTCCTCTGATAATTGGTTTTTTTTAATGGTATGTGTAGGAGGACCTCACTTTTTTGGACTAGTCAGGAGAGGGATAGTGGACAAAAATCCAGTATGTCCAGTCTATTGGAACCCTGGCCTCCAGTAGGACCACTGGAGATTCTCAGCAGTAGTGTACGGTCACCTACACCTACAGAGAACAAGATGGGGTCAGCCTTGCTTTTCAGTCACTCAGAAATACTTACCCAGGTGGTTGACTCCCAGGTGGGTTTCAAAGCCATCAGCTGTCTTGGAATATGGACACATCATCACTCCTGCATTGTTGATCAGAATATGGAGCTGCTTTTCCTCTGTAACACAACCAAGGAGATGCTGTAGTTAGCAAGAAATCTGCTAGCTGCCCAGCACAGTCCTGAGTATTTACTCCTTGCCTTTGGGTCTATCTTAGTGATATTCAGTAACCACTGTTATTTGGGTTTCTAACTTTAGTAATTGATATCTCCCTGGACACCATTCATTCATTCATTCATTCATCCATCCATCCATTCATCTGGCAAATATGTACTGAGTACTGACTCTGGGCCAGGCCCACTCTGCTGGGCATACAGTGGTAAAACAGGACAGTCATGGTCCCTAAACCTCATGGATTTCATAGTCATTAGTAAAAGCTGGATATTTTCCAAGATACACAAGAATTGTGGCAGCAACACAACCTCATTTGGTGCCTGTGGCCACAGAAGGCTGCTTCTCAGAATGAAAGAAGAGCGTGGCATCAGGGCCACACCTTGATGCCAAGGTACAAGCCCAGACAGGGAGCTGATACCTCCAACATTCCCATTGCAAAGGCAAAAGGATGATAAGGATCCTGCCCAGCTGGTCCACCCACCATCCCCTTACCAATTCCCTGCCCTGCTGGCTCATGTGGCAGAACCCGTCCAGTGGAATCCATGATGGTTCTGATGTAAGGGTCAGAGACAGGTCTGGGTGGGGCAACCCCTCCCACACTCAGCTTCTTGCTTTTCTGGCTACCCACCAGGGCCTTACCTGCCAGAAAGCCCTCAGCAAAGGCTCTGATGGATTTGGTATCCGATAGGTCCAGTTTCCGCACCAGCACCTGGGAGTTCTTTGTATCAGCTCGGATTTCACTGGCAGCAGACTCCCCCTTGAGCACATCTCGGCAGGCAATGTATACTCGGGCTCCTGGGGCAAAAAAAGAGGGCAATGTGTTCAGACCATAGGCTGAGAAAGAGTAGAGTAAGTGAGCTTGGGACTGGTACACAGAGCGTTCTCCAGCCACCCCTAAAGCAGTGAGTGTTGTATTGCCACTCTTCAGGATTCTCACTGCAGCCCTGCTCATTCTCCTTGCTACTAGCTTAACTTCAGCTGGGAACCCAGGTTTTTACACTCTGATATTTAATGTTGCTTAGAATCTCCTTTTAGAATAAGGGACTTGACCAACACTGTACATGGACATCATTGTTTGTCTTACTTTATAGAAGACAAACAGTAACGGAGCAGGGAGGAAGGGAAGTTTGTTTAAGGCCACAGATTGAGTTGGCGTCACAGCTGGGCCTGAATCCCATGTTCCTTGAATTCCTGACCAGAGCCTCCAAGCCCAGGAGAAAAGACAAGGAAATGTGGGCAGAGCCCGGGTGAGAAAGGCAGGAGGTGCTGCCCTGTGGACATGGAAGTGGAGGGACTTGCCTCTGCGAGCGAGCTCTCTGGCCGTCTCCTTGCCGATGCCAGTGTTGGCGCCAGTGATCACCACTATCTTCCCAGGAAGCTGCACGTCTGTTCTACAAACCCCACCAGCGAAGAACTTCCTATAGGCAAGGGAAGCAAAAGCACTCATGCGCCATCCTCCCAACCCCAGACTGAGATACATAACACCCGTCCAGCCTCAAAGAAGAATTTCTTACAGTTGTCATCGGGAGACCTAAACAAGCTAATCTCCAGGGGACGTGTTCCCAGTGAGGGAGGGGGTCTCCTGATCGTCAGCTCAGGTCGGAAGGTCATGTGTCCAGAAGCTACAAATGGCCATCTAGGCAAACAGTGGAAGTGCTCTTGAGCTGGAGCTCAGGGAGACCTTCCTTATTAGATAAAGATAACAAAGCTCTTATCTCTAGAGGTTCCTGGAGGTCAGCTGCCGCCTCTAACCTGCATTAAAACATGCAAAGAGCATTAAAGGACTGGCTGGTCCTGAGCCCTCCGTCTTCAATAAGCACCAACAGTGAATAACTGAGGAATGGCACCTCAGAGGGTCCCACAGACAAATGTGGTTCTTGGGCTCCCTCTCCAGTTTTAGAGAGCCAGCATCTTCACTTTTTTTTTTTTTTTTTGCCATCTTCAGAGATTCCATTCTAGCTATCAGCACACTGAGAAACCCTCTCTTTTCAGACCTCTGTGCAGAGAGCATCTTTTTACATAAAGTTAACTTGACAAGTTCCAAAAAGAGGATGAGAGGTGGGGACAGATGATTTTCTGAGCACCATTTAACTGTCCAGCACTTTCCGGAGGGAATTTATTTTAATCCTCTCAACCGCTCTCTTATTAACCCCATATTACAGTGGGGGCAGGAAATGAGGCTCAAAGAAGTCACGTCACTTGTTAATAGTGGCAAAACTGTCATGTGAACCCAGGTTTCTATGCCAGGACCCAGAGCAACACTCGGTCCCTCATCTGTCCATGTAACCTTCTTTACCATCAGCAGTTTGAAAATTCTCTACCCAGACACACGTTTCTTTGACACTTCCAGAAATCCCACAGCAAGAGAGCCATCCCAAAACATCTTTAGCTGAGGAAAGAGAGTTTGTTTCCTTTCCCAAATGCCTGGTACTTAATGAGTCCCTCAGCAATGGCCACCCATAGTAACCCAGCAGGGCCAGCTTAACTAGAAACAATGAAGAAAGGAAGACCTTCCAAGGAACCCAGGGGAACAGAGTGAAAGAGCAGGACTTTCCCCTGAGTTGTCTGTCAAGCAACTTAACACTCATCCACTCAGCCTTCCACCAGCACCAGCATTCAGATCAGCCCCTCTACTCCCAGCCCAGGTGCTTCCTTCTTACTTTCCTTCATGGCTTCCATAATTACCTCTTTCCTTTCTGTTTCTTCTGCCCTGACTTTCTCTCCCTTAACCTCTATCCCTTCCTCTTCTTTCAGCAGCCGAGAGAGAATTCATCTACTTACGAGTTCCATGGCTCCCAACTTAGGGATTTGTAAAATACTGTATGAGTCACTGAAATTAAGACAAACCTGATGGATGGAGCTATCACATACAGGAAGGAAAGGAAGGAGGTGAGCAGTCCCAAGATAACCATCATCTTTTCAACTTCTTTAGTTTCTGCTCCTTAGTAAAAACACCTTCGACTCTAACTCGGGCTCGGGCTCCTGGTCTGCCTCCAACTCTTGTCTGCTTCTGGCTGCTTCTCCCTCTTCTAGCTCCTCTCAGAGCTCTCAGCAACAGCCTGGCTCTAAGCCTAGCCCAGAATCCTATTTAAATCCGAGAGCTGTCAGAGCACAGCCTGCTGGGAGATGTAGTCCTGAGAGAGGAGGACGGAGGAAGGAGTGGAACCTCACACGAACCAGCAAAGAGAATGAGGGGAAATGCAGCAACTGCCCCCTACCTTTCCTACCCTCGATTATTTCTCTGATCTAGGGAATGTTTTCTCTCCAACCACCCCCACCTCCACTCCTGAAAGACAGAATATTTTTAGCTTAAGCAACCGGCCCCATGATACTTGAAATACAAATGCGATTAAAATAGGAAGACAAGGAAGAAACCCCAGGAGAATGGTGAGAGAAGTCAGGACAGTGGTATCTCTTGGTGGGGACGGGGTAGAGATTGGGAAGATATATGTTGGGAACTCCAGGAGTGTTCTGTTCTTTGAGTTGGGTGCTGGTTACCCAGGTGTGCTCACTTTGTGAACATTTATTGAGTCACACGCTTGATATGTGCACTTTTCTGTTCTTTATGTGACACTTCAGTGAACACATCCATGTACATACCAAGGAAAGGTATAGTGTTTCAGTGCATGGACTTCCTGGTTCAAATCTCAACTGATCTTCTTACAAGCTCCATGGTCCCAGGCAAGTTACTAAACTGTGTTAACTCAGTTTCCTCACTTGTACAAAGGGCTTAATAAAAGTATATACCTACCTGGTTTCAGTATTAAAAAGATAATTAAATAGGTAGATAATTTGAGACAGAGACTAGCACATAGTAAACACTGTATAAGAGTTGGCTGTTAAAATGAGCTGTCTCACTCGCATTACCCAAGGATTTGGTGTAGAAAAGGGGGAGGTAATGAATGAGGGTGACATTTCAATATTGAATGCTATTGAAGAAGAGAGGAAAACAAGGGAAAAAAGTTAGCAGAAACTCTCCGAGGTGAATGAGCAGGGATCACAGCACGTGCTCACTCAGCATTTCTCTCCTGCACAGGACAACAGGACAGGACAAAGGAATCAGGACAGGACCCTACTAGTCATGTCCCAGTTCTGATCCTTCCTGTGAAGTTACTAGAGGCTCCAGGAAGACACATGCGATGAAAGAAGGCTCCTGTGGCATGCAGGTACCCACTCCCTCACTCATCAATTCATCCATCCATTTAAAATATACTTACTGCATATTTCTTGGTGCCAGGCATCGTGCCAAGCACTCCAAGTACTCCTGCCTCTTGGGAATCCCAAGGACCTGATAAACAGAACAAGGAGTACTCAGATCATCCACAGGTGGAATCTCTCTTGATTCTCAGGGGCCTCTCCCATCTCTTCCCACTTCTCTCACTCTGGCTCCAGCTCCCTGCAGAAATCTAGTGTCAACTCCAGAGACCTCAACGTTCCAGGAGCTCCCGTGATTGTGCTGCTGGAGCCTCCTAGAAGTCGATGTCCACTGAGCCAACATGGCCCTGCTGATTGGACAGAGTCCTTTTCTCCCAACACATTGGGTCTGCCACACCTCATAGATTATAGGTAAAAACAAGATCTGTTGATGCTTTCTGCTTAGAGTTCTCCCTTTCCCATGTAATCAGGGCTATAGTCAACCAATGGGACAGACACAATGCTATGCCATACACCTAATAGCTCAAATAAGGGTACCTCTGTAAAAATGTCTTCTGGGCTCTGCATTTCTTCTGAATCAAATCCAAGATCCCCTGAATTTGTAGAGATGATGCTCAATTTATCTTGAGTTTGTCTGCAAAGCAAAGAACCCTAAGAGACAGCATGGAGTGCTCTAGAGCAACATAGAGAAGATATAGAAGGCATATGAGACATCTAGAATTATGGACATATACAAATAGCTTTATTAAAAACATGTTAAATATTATTACCCAAAGATTATCATTAGGTGATTGATTAGTTTTACCAAATGTTAAACTATATTACAAAGCTATAATAATTTAAGTTATGTGGTACATGTAGGTGAATAGTCAGACAAATCCCTAGAACAGAAGGTAAAAACCAAGAAATAGACCCAAATAGATATGGAAATTTAGATATAATTTTAAAAACATGAATTATTTAATCAAGTATTATAATACCTTGCTATCCATTTAGGAAAAGATGAACTTGATCCTTACCTTACTATTTACACAAAAATTTTAAATATATCAACAATATAAACATGGAAAATGAAACCATTTAAATATTAAGAAGACCCATGGGGTAAATTTTTAAATAATTTTTAAAAATATTTTTATTGATTTCAGAGAGGAAGGGAGAGGGAGAAAGAGATAGAAACATCAATGACAAGGGAGAATCATTGTTTGGCTGCCTCCTGCATGCCCCACACTATGGGCTCAACTGGAGGTCGAGCCCACAACCCGGGCATGTGCCCTGACTGGGAATCAAACAGTGACCTCCAGATTCAAAGGTCGATGCTCAACCACTGAGCCATGCCAGCTGGGCCAATTTTTAAATAATTTTTGAGTAGTAAGATCTTTCTAATAAGATAGGAAACCCAGAAAATGAAAGAAGGAAATAAAAATTTCATGACAAAAACCACCATACACAAGGCAAAACAAAAGAGAAACTGGGGAAATGGGTGGGGGATATTCACAACATGTATTGTTCACAAGAGTTTAATTTATTTAGTATATAAAGAACTCTTACAAATCACTAAGGAAAAGAATAAGCAGCCCAATGGAAATAACAGTTTACAGAAAAAGAAATATAAGTGGCTCTTCAACCTAACTCAGATTAAAAGAGATGCAAATTAAAATTATACTGGGAGTCACTTATCAGATTGACAAAGGTCAAAAAGTCCATCACATAGCCCTGCTGGAGTGGCTCATTTGGTTGAGCATCATGCTGTGCACCAAAAGGTTCCTGATTCGATTCCCAGTCAGGACATGTGGGGAGAGCAGCATATAGATGTTTCTCTCTCCTCTGGCTCTCTCCCCTTCCTCTCTCTAAGCATGCCCTCGATGAGGATAAAAAAAAGAAAGAAAGAAAAAGACTTTCACACAGTCCATTCACAAGAGTGTGAAGAAATAATGATGCACTGCTAGTATGAGAGTTGGTTGTTACAGCCTCCAGAGAGAAGTATGGTAACATCTAATAAGGCTATGCACATACTCGTTGACCTGAACTTTCCACTTCCACGTATGTCATTGCACCATTGTGTGTAATAGTAAAAGTTTGGAAACCTTCTAAATGCCTGTCAATAGTACAGCCACACAATGACTACTATATAGTTATGAAATACTTTTTTTAACATATTGATATGGAAGAATCTTTGATACATATTTGGTGAAAAAACAAGGAGCAGAACAGGGTTTATAATATGCTTTAAACCATTAGTTTAAAAATGGAGGGAATAGCTCTGGCCAGTGTGGCTCAGTTGGTTGGATCATCATCCCATACACCGAAAGGTCTTGGGTTCAATTCCTGGTCAGGGCACATACATAGGTTGTGAGTTTGGTCCCGGTTGGGGTGCGTACGGGAGGCAACCAATTAATGTTCCTCTCTCACCTCTCTCTATCTCTCTCATCACTAAACATATCCTCGGGTTAGGATAAAAAAATGGAGGAGATAGATGGACATCCTAGCTAATAAAAGAGAAACATGGTAATTAGCCATAACTTCGCTACCCTTCCCATTGGCTAATCAGGGCAATATGCAAATTAACTGCCAACCAAGATGGCGGCCAGCAGCCAGGCAACTGACTCGAACAGGAGGCTTGCTTGCTCCAGTGACGGGGGAAGCCAAGGTTCCCCACCTGCCGCTGCTGGGCTCTGAGCTTGCAGTCTAAGAAACAATGCTGCAATTATAGAAGCTCAACAAACCCATGCTTTCAGACAGCTGGCCGAGCTGGAAGTGCAACAGTGTTTCAATTATAGAAGCCAAACAAACCCAGGTACCTGCTTTTCAGCAGCCGAGGTCTCAGAGCTGGAGCTGAGCCTCAGAGCTAAAGCTGGCTCTCATGTCCAGTGACAGCCATAGAAAGTAAATAAATCCCAGAATTAAAAAAAAGAAAAAAGGAGAGGTTAGGAGCTTCAGTCACCCACCAGCCTGAAAAGGGCCCTCAGCCCCTCACCCAGACTCGCCACACTCCCATGGGGTGAGGGACCCCACTGGGGTGTTTGGCCAGCCTGCAAACAGCCCTCAGCCTCTCACTCAGGCTGGAC